GGCGATTGGAATACGCAGTAAACATTCCTTTTCTGTAGTCTTTGAAGTAGTTTCCATTGGAGTGTTTACCGCACCTGGTATGTGATGCATAGCATTGCAGCTGGTATTTGTTGCCGCAGCTGGTTTATGACGTAGAATCGAGAAGGCCATTTTGTGAGCACCCCTCACCCCCAGGTGCCTCGGCTGTCCGGCGTCCTGAGGATGGGCAATGGGGAGGGGAGGGGGGACCCTACAACTACGCAGTACCTTGATGGCCCTCCGGAGGCTAAGGAGGGAAGGGGGAGGGGGCTGAAAGCAGGATGGGAAGGAGGGATTGATTCACAGAAAAGAAATGCTCAAGGAAGCAGAGTGGAGAAGAGAACACAACGGAAAGGGAAACAAATAGATAAGGAAAATCTATTAATAAAGGTATTCACACACATACTTACATACATACATACATTCATACACACACACACACACACACACACACACACACACACACACACACACACACACACACACACATATATATATGAGAAGGAGTGAGAGGGGGGCGGACAGATAGTGTTAGGCAGAAGGTTGAGGAAAGACAGGAAGCTTAGTCAAAGGCGGCGGAAAAAGAACGATATGCAAATGCGAAAAGGGAAGGAAAGAAAGGGCAGATAGAGGTCGGAGTTACGTGGAAAAGGTGTGCGTGAGTGGAGGTGGGTGGGGGGAGGTAAGTAAGGTGCGTTACGGGCGCGCGCTGTGAAGACGAGGCGACGACGCTGCAGGATGCGGTGAGGGTCCTGTGCCCTCCTGTGGCGGGCAGGGATTAGCCGGGCGAAGGAGAGGCCGAGACGCAGAGTTCACGATAATATTGCACTTGATGTCGGGAATTCATGCAAGCAAATGGTAAAATTAACAGCACTGATACGAAGGTAGATATATCAATGGCAGTATTGATGATAATCAACGGTGATAATAACGATAACAGGTAGTGATGATAATCATAATAGTTACATTGTTGATATTAATAGTAATACTATTGCTACTGACAATTATGGTGCTGATAAAGATAACAATAATTATGGCAAGACTAATGATTATAATAATGTTAAGTTAACATTGGTGCTCATGTCAATTTTCATGGAGATGGTAATAATGAAAATAATAATGATATTATTTGTGTTTACAACATTATTGAATACCATTATTAACATTCGCGATAAGAGATAGTGATGGTATAGTGATGGTATTACCATAACTCCAGTGCTGTGACGAACACAATTTGCCACCACCACCTGGGTGAGCACCGCAGCATATGCAAAAAGCCGGATGCGACAGCTTAACCCCTGGAGCTACCACCGAGAATTTAAGGAGTGCGCTTGCTTAGAATGTACGCAGGTGTATGGGGTACGCGAGAAACGATTAGGAATGCCAACAAATTTAACCGGGTGGGGGGGGTGGGGGGTAAAAGCAGCAAAATCAACAACAAAAGATCTTGATAAACAGAGATTGTGGCGAGAAGGTTCCCCGAGGTCTTGCCGACAGCAAGGGGCGAAACGAGGCGGAAGTCGTCTACAAAAGGACGTCCACAAAGTGACCGAAACTGACGAAGTAAAGTTCCTGAAGGAGAAGCCAAGGTGGTCTCCAAGCGTACATTACGCGCGTGTATGGCAGTGTAGAAAGATTTTTATATTAGGGCTTCTTATTCTGTGAGTAAATAGAAGGCAAAATGGAAGGAAAATAGAATAAAGGAGAGGGGGAGAGGAAGAGGGAGAAGGAGAAAGAGAGAAGGAGAGGGAGGGGGAAAGAGAGAAGGAGGAGGAGGGGGGAAGGGAGAAGCAGAGGCAGAGGAAGAGGAAGAGTAAGGGGGAGGGTGAAAGGGAGAGGAGAGGGAAAAGGAGAGGGAGGGGGAAAGGGAGAGGGAAGGGGAGGGGGAGGGGGAAAGGGAGAGGGAGGGGGAGGGGGATAGGGAGAGGGAGGGGGATAGGGAGAGGGAGAGGGAATGGGAGAGGAAGGGGAAAGGGAGAGGAGAGGGAAAGGGAGAGGGAGGGGGAAAGAGAGGAGGAGGAGGGGGGGAGGAGAGGCAGAGGCAGAGGAAGAGAAAGAGAAAGAGGAAGAGGAAGAGGAAAAGTAAGGGAGAGGGTAAAAGGGAGGGGGGAGGGAGAAAAACCCGAAGGATTGAAGGAAGGAGAGAAGGGGAGGAGGTAATGCAATATGAAAGCCAGCACAGCTTGTTGTAGAATTAGTTGCGCACTCATATACTGCACGCAAAGACAGGGAAATGAGGCGAAGAAAGGCTTTCCATATTACATTGGTTTTAGGCCTGCGTTGGTTCCCCGAGGAATCGCTATTGTTGTTTATACATAAGCATATGTATGCACACATAAACGCAGTGCACACTTGCATGCAATTGCTTATGCACACAGACACACACACACACACACACACACACACACACACACACACACACACACACACACACACACACACACACACACACACACACACACACACACACACACACATGTATATTTATATATATACATATGTAATTATATATATATATATATATATATATATATATATATATATGTATATATATATATATATATATATATATATATATATATATATATATATATATATATATTATATATATACGTATATACATACATATATATATATATATATATATATATATATATATATATATATATATATATATATATATATATATATATATATGTGTGTGTGTGTGTGTGTGTATATTTTTTTATACATATCTGCTACACATTATATATATATATATATATATATATATATATATATATATATATATATATATATATATATATATATATATGGATATAATTATCATATATATATGTATATATATACACATATATCTACACACACACACACACACACACACACACACACACACACACACACACACACACACACACACACACACACACACACACACACACACACACACACACACACACACACAAACAACACACACAGACTAGTGTGTGTATATGTCTGTGTGTATTTATCCATGAATTTATAAATATACGCTCACCCATGCGTGTGTTTGTGAGAATGTCCACACAGTAAAAGCCTGGTGAAAGTGAGAGTCTGTGCGAGGGCACCGGGTGTAAGAGTGCCAGAGAGTGCCAGAGACAGCGGGCACACGGCCAGTTCATTAACCCTATCCTCTGCACTGTCTGTTCTTTCCCTTTACGCACTTTTCGTATTTTAAACAATTTCGTTTAATTAACCAACTGTAAATACAACTTGTTATTTCATCTTAATCTTATTCGGTTGGGGAAAACAGAATTCGCTCTCGCTAGTCACACCGGGCGTACAAATTCAGATGTAACTTGTATTTTCAGTTTGTTTATTTTTGAATGACCGTGCCAAACATATATCAGGAATAAGTTACAAATTTGGAGAAAAAACTTTGTCCCGCGGGCTCTGTGTTTTGGGTGATGGGGTCGTTGCTCCCGGGTTATATCGACATGTCCTCGCACGTCGTCAGCGCCCGCTCTCCATTGGTTCCTTTGCTCCGTGACGTCACGATCCCTTGCATGCAATTGGTCAGAGCTGTTGGGCCGTGTTTTATACTTTCAAAGTTCCTTTGAAAGTTTATTGAGAAAGAGAAATTTGGATGGGGACTTCGTTTATTGCAGAGACAATCCAAAAGTCTTCGAGAAGGGAAGCGTGGTAATACTTCTCTCTCATTCCCCCAATCTGAGCAAATGACTCGCGGGGTTCATTGCCCTTGATGCCTGGGATACTTGGCTCTGATTGGTCCGCGTCAGCGGTGAGGTCATCGCCGAGCTCAGAGTTGCCCGAAGCTCAATAATTACATCACAAGGAGAAACCAGTCGTGTAAAGTTATACTGTACTTGGGAGGAGGCAGTTTTCATGTGATGACCATTTTAACTTCGTGCAGTTTCTAAAAGTTTTCAAGAGTTAAGCAAACACACAGTCACACATGCACCCTGCCACACATACACACACAAACTCCGAGAAACTAACACTGCTGTCACTTCGGTTTCCTTCTCTGGCAGGAATGTTTCGCAGCTAAATTTCATTGTCTGCGCTATGTATGACAGCTATTTTTGTTGTAAATAGATAACGGAATTCGAGTGCAGATTGCAAAAGTCAGAGCCTAGCGATGGTTTGATTGGTTAATCGCAGATTCTAGTAGTTGTGAATGTACGATTTTATGTGTGTGATCGTGTGCAAATTTAGATTTTACAAATGTATTTTAAGAAGCACCTGGACATCAATTCATTAAACAAAAACCGACGGGCGAGACCAGGTACCGCTCAAGGGCGGCATAAGGTCGGGTGGGTGGAGATGGGCGTGACTTGATCTCGAGTCGATGAGATGAAGCGAGGAGTGTGATGTAGTAGGGTGATGTGCATTTGATGTCAAAGAGGCGAAGGGGGCGGGCAAGACGGCGTAGTCTTTGCAAATCCACCTCCTGTGGGCGCGGATAGAAAGGGCGAAGCTGTTTGTGGAGTTTGGTGGACCGAGTTGGTGAAGTATAAGTAAATGGCTTTGGATGGTGTGAGTGGGAGGGGGGCGAGAGTAGTGGGAAGGAGAGATCGTTTTTTTTTTTTACTAATACATATGTAAGTATTGACATATGCTCTTTTGGGTGCAGAATGGTATGCACCCCAAAAACGGTTTAGATGAGTAGCCAAATTTCCGGCAGTTTTAGCACTCTTTGGCTAACCAAAGTATGCCCATTCAAGACTTTCGCGAAAGCCCAGCAAGACACTTTCTGGCGTCGAACCGCATCTCTTGAAGACGTTGCCCTCTGGACACGATGGCGTCCTTGAGCAGCGACAGTAGTCTGCTCATTATACTCAGACCTTTTCTGTTGCCTCCCAGTTTCCCCCTTGTTTTCTCCCCCTTCTTGTCGCTTCCCTTGTTATTCTCGCGTCTTGTCCCTCCTTCCTTCCCTGCGAGATTCGAGAACTAACGACAGCGCCCTTGGTTTCCTCCCACAGCCCAGATTGAGATCATTCCCTGCAAGGTGTGCGGCGACAAGTCCTCCGGCGTCCACTATGGTGTCATCACGTGCGAGGGCTGCAAGGGCTTCTTCAGGAGGTCCCAGTCCTCCGTCGTCAACTACCAGTGCCCGCGTCAGAAGAACTGCGTGGTGGACCGGGTCAACCGGAACCGGTGCCAGTATTGCCGCCTGCAGAAGTGCCTCAACCTCGGCATGTCCAGGGATGGTGAGTGTTCCTTTTTCGTTCTAGGGAACAGGAGGGGAAAATATACTTACATATACATACATACATACATACAAATAAATGTATATATATATATATATATATATATATATATATATATATATATATATATATATATATATATATATATATATATATATGTATATATATATATATATATATATATATATATATATATATATATATATATATATATATGTATATATATATGTATATATATATGTATATATATATGTATATATATATATATATATATATATATATATATATATATATATATATATATATATATATATATATATATGTGTGTGTGTGTGTGTGTATGTATACGTATATGTACATGTATATGTATATACATGTATATGTACATGTATATGTATATATATATATATATATATATATATATATATATATATATATATATATATATATATATATATATATATATATACAAATTTCTTGCGTCTGATTGTCGTTGATCCGCGTTGCATTATCCGCGATAAGTTATCTGCGAAATTAAGTTATCTCACATTACCTTTCCTAATTCATGATCATGGCAACTCCTATCATCACATTTCTCCTCCTCTTCCTCCTGCACCACCAGCTCCTCCTCCGATTGTATCTCAGTCACCTTGCAAAGTGTCATGGCGTCCCTGATTGCAAGTCTGTGCCATGGACGCCGGGGAGCCTAAGGCGACTTCCTGGTCTTCATGGCAGATGAGTGCAGTGGAGTGGCAGGAGACGGAGGCGGGGCGGGAGTGGCTGAAGGAAGAAGAGAAAGGGGGAGGCATTGGAAGTAGAGGCTGGAGTGCAAATCGCAATAAGTGAAAGAGGTTGTTGCTGTCACAAAAGGGATTCAGCTTATTCTGGATTCGGAGGCAGACATGCTCCTCCTTCAGAAGGAGCACGGCTGGGGAAGACGCCGACCGCCATGGCAGAAGCGCAACCTCTACCGGACATATTATATATCACCGACACGAAAGCCACGAGGGTAGCGGTTAATTCCTCTTTTACCTTTACACATTGTACCTGTGCTTAGTTGACGCCGTTCAAAGGTCGTGTCCTTGTTCTCGCTCTTCACATAGCGTGTATGATACATTATAACCCTGCGTATCGTAGGGCTCTTCCGCAACCTTCGTACAGGCGAGGCGCTGTGCACGCAACATCGATCATAACGCATGATGACGGCCTGGCGTGATGAGCGACAGCAGATCGGAATGGACGGGTCTTCATTCGGCATCGTCATCAGCTCGAAGCTCCCCTGAAACACAACCAGCACGACACTAGATTCGATACTTACCCTGGGCCTTATCTTTAAAGAGGCGAGGTACACAACGCGTGTCCTGGTATGCAGTATTAAGGCCGGCCAGCCGATGGCCAGCGAGGAGGATCGATAGGCTTCTGACCTCTTCTCTTCTCACGTGACCCCAAGGTCGACCTGCATGGCGCCTTCTCTGTCGTTTATTCGAACATGTACATGGCTTCAGGTATTGGTTATATTATTGTCCTATGTAATACTAATTGCATGTATAATTGGCAAAAGCAGTATAGTCTACCTAACCATACCAGTCGCTACATCTGATGAAGATATATATATCACAGTAATTGTAACTGCTCCCAATATGTTTTTAGTATCACATGATTGCTGGTGTGTATTTTCTGTATGTAAAGTGGTATAAAATATCAATAAGGAGTGACCCAAGAAGGGGAGCGAGGCAGAACCTATTGCTTTCGTCGGCTGATTTTGTTCGTAATCTGAGCGTCAGGCATCCTTCGCTGAACTCCGATGCCCCTTGGCGGGAATATGTCCTTCGGGAACTGGGGCGCACGGCGGGGCCCGCCAGGTGCCCGCACTCCTTTTGTTTACTTGCCGCACGAGCGGAAAGGGAGGAGGGGAGGAGGGGAGGGGGTTATTTGGGTACGAAACAGTTAAGGAATTTTAGCAAGATTCTCGCACGGAATTGCTGTGCTGCGGGGTGCTTACCCTTGCTGTATGACGATGCGTCTGCATGCGATTGTGAATTAGTTGCAAAATCAGTATTTTTCATTGTTTTTATATTTTCTTGGATGTTATATTTGTAGTTCTACATTTGATTTACAGTTGAGACTCTGAGTCAACAAGGGGCTAGTAGAGGAAATGACCGTGCAAGTTATACAGGAAAATAAATGCACAAATTTAGCCTAACCGGCCCCTCTCGCCGACTACGTCATCGTTGCGTCACTGGTGGCGGCCGCGTGCGTGCCAGTGACGTATGCAAACAGTGTCAATGGCCGAAGAGCTCCATGTTGCCATCCTCGTGTTGCTACGGTGCCTGGACTTGCGCTCGCCCTCACTCCCACGCCAAGCATGTACTCAGTGGAGGTTCTTGGCCTATGGCATGTATCTGCATTTCTCAGGAGCAGCTTATCATTTGATAATCAATTGATATGATTCCATGATGGTCTGCTAGGCGCAGCTGGGAATTCTGATGCTATACTTCCACCTACTTAGTTCACTGATGCCTACTACCCATCTGGCGATGTCGCTCAAAACCCAAGACATCTTGAACGTGAGCGCTGAGAGATAAATATATCCTGTAGGAGTATAAATATAGCAAGCATCCGCGGATATGCCGGCGTGCGGACCGTGCCATGGCTCCTCCCCGGCCAGTCAGACACGTGACCCCCCTCACCCCGTAATTGGTCTTTAGTCGACCGACAGGCAGTATTTTGATTTTTGGAGCAGTGTTTAAGATGGACTAAAACCCTCTCTAGATCAGCCTTGAGACAGAGAAGTAAAAGAAAGTAAAAGATAAGACTAAACTATGACTGAAATGGAACCGATGAACGAGCCAGTCCTGGGCGAGGGCGCGAGGGACAACAGTGGCTCGTGAGTAGGCGAAGGAAGTGCCGATAGTCAGTGACATGAGCGCAAGATGACTCGACTGCGGGAGGTCTATTTCCACACGCGGAAGCGATATATGGGAAGTGTACGTTATGCGGCGCGCCAGCCATGCCCTTCCCCTTTCCCTTCATCCGCCCCTCCCTCCTTCCGTAAACACGCCGATGCGGACAGATCAGGGGGCAGAGAAAGAGAGAGAGAGAGAGAGAGAGAGAGAGAGAGAGAGAGAGAGAGAGAGAGAGAGAGAGAGAGAGAGAGAGAGAGAGAGAGAGAGAGAGAAGGAGGAAGAAGGGAGAATAAGATGACCAATAATTAGGAACAGGTGTGTGTTGTGATGCGGTTTTCACATCTGTCTCGCTATGAAGGAAAGTAAACACGTGTGCCAAGTGTTCGGCACAGATGTGTGAAACAGCTGTGCGAGATAGACAGTGGGAAGCAGGCAGGTACTTCGGGAGGAAACAGGTACTTAAGTTAGTCATTTATATATATATATATATATATATATATATATATATATATATATATATATACACACACACACACACACACACACACACACACACACACACACACACACACACACACACACACACACACACACACACACACACACACACACATATATATATACATGTATGTGTGTGTGTGTGTGTGTGTGTGTGTGTGTGTGTGTGTGTGTGTGTGTGTGTGTGTGTGTGTGTGTGTGTGTGTGTGTGTGTATACATATATATTTATATATGTATATATACATATACATATACTATATGTATACATAGGTATATTTACACACATACATATACATACGCATGCACATGCACATGCACATGCACATACACATACCCCCCCCCCCCCCACAAACGCACACATACACATACACACACATGCGTGTATAAATACATACATACATAGATACAAACATAGATACATACATAGATACATGCATAGATACATACATAAATACATACATACATACAGAGAGAGAGAGAGAGAGAGAGAGAGAGAGAGAGAGAGAGAGAGAGAGAGAGAGAGAGAGAGAGAGAGAGAGAGAGAGAAGGCGGGGGAGAAGGAGAAGGAGAAGGAGAGGGGGGGAGAGGGAGAGGGAGAGGAAGAGAGAGAGGGAGAACAGAAAGACAAGGAAAGGGAGAGAGAAAAAAGGAAATGGAGACAGATAGCGTGTATGTATACACAGATGTATGAGGGCCGAGACTCGCTCTTCAGCGGGGGAAGACAGACGTCCCCCTCTCCTGCATACATACATAGGCACTGCTATACTCACAGAAGAGAAGCTAATATGCCACTTGTCTGTTTCACTGCGAGGAGAGAGGATCTGTCGGAGAAACCACAAAGTCGCAGGCCATTTTTAAACACTTAATGGGTATTCGATCGATTTGCATCGTTTTTTTTCATTAATTGTATTACCGAATGTTTACTTCTCATCTTTTTCTCAAGCTTTCGCGGGCATTAACGTGGCGGAAGATTCATCCTTCAGCAAGGTAAGCGGATGACCCAATTTCGACGGCTCGTCTGCTGGCACGAGGCCAGGTGGGGGACAGCCCCTCCCCTGTGTTCACATGAGGGAGGCAAACTGTTGTTCACCGCGATGTGTTTACCTAGAAACGCGTATCGCACAGAGAGCCTCTTGTGAGGTACTGCTCTTCCTTCAGAATTGCCTTGCCACTTTGTGTTCTTGAGTTTTCCTTGTTGGTTGTTGAGAGACACCAGCGAATTACTTCGTGGCTGTTCAGTCGTAGAACTTCACGAGCCGTCTACAGTGTTGACATTCCACAATACCGGATATTACGTCAAAATTGGCGCAGCGGAATGTCCCATGCAGGGTTTAGCCCCATGCCCATGCCCGCTCGGAAATAACGACCTAGGCCTCACTACCTGCCCCTCCCCACCCTCTTGCTCTCGGCCCGATCGCCTGCAAGCACGGCTCTGTGAGCGGCACCTCCCGGCTGCTTCGTCCTTCAGGAGCAGTGCCGCTTCTGAAAGCGCTCACACGCACATACACACACACACATATTGTCCGTGTGTGTGTGTGTGTGTGTGTGTGTGTGTGTGTGTGTGTGTGTGTGTGTGTGTGTGTGTGTGTGTGTGT